ATGACCCTTCAAGTCATGGCAGATGTCTGCTGTTGTTTTCGTGGTTGTTCACCATTTTGAAATTCAAGTAAAGTCTTGTGATTGCACATGAAACTATTTCCTGTCTTGTGATTCCTCGCTGTCTCTCTTTTCCTCCAGATGAGGGCGCTCTGGCCTGTCTGTCCTGTTATGACGGCTACACTTTCATGGGTGGAATCTGTGAATCCCAGTGTCTAATAGGCTTCCATGCTGCTTCACAGGTGACAGACAGAAATAGTGCTTTTGTTTTCATTCAACATACCTTTTACATTTACCTCATGAAAAACAAACTATATTATTAACATTACTTGAGTTTGAAAAGGCTTTACTGACATAGATGCGTTACACTGACACTGCTCAGTCTGCTGTATAACTAGTTCTTCTGTTGCTCCAGGACTCTGACTCCAAGAGCGATGAGCCCAACTGCAGGGCGTGTGACGACTCCTGCGTGGACTGTCGAGGTCCCAGCATGTGGAACTGCACTGTGTGCCCTGCACTCCAGATCTTGTCCGATGACGGCCGCTGCTTGAGTTGCTGTGGAAATGAGAAACGTCAGGATGACATGCCAATATCCAGGCAGTGCTGTGACTGCCAGGCCTCACGAGGTAACACAGTTCACTGAGGCATCTTGTGTCATCTCATTGATGCAACTTGCTCTACATAAGAATACATACTGTATTCATACCTTTATGGAAATTTAGCATGCATGCATGCGTCATTGGCTGCAGGCCTTCTGCCATTAGAAACAGTTGCCCTGTATACAATTTTATACTAAAAAGCTTTCCAACTGTGTCAACATCTTCCTGGCTCATGGGGGTTTTCCAGTATTTAAGAAAGATAATGTTCCTCATACAAGGAAGTATTCAAGCTTTCTTAGCCTGTAGTCATCACAGTAAGTCTGCATTTCATTAGAACTAGCATCTTATGAAAGACATATTCATAAAAAAACAGTAATAGCAGTTACATGCCTCTATCAATCGGTGCAGGTTCAGTCTAAATAATGTTTTCAGACTCAAATAAGGTCCTTTGACCTTTGATCACTGAAACATAATGAATAATTGTTTGTGTCCAAGTGAACGAGTGAAGAGAGTGAACCTCAAGGTGTTTCTGAGTTGTTGTGTTTCGTAATGTCACTGTGAGCCTGACTTTTAAACTTTGATCAACAAATTCTAATGGGTCAAACCTGGAGTTCAACAAATTTTTTTGACCAAATTTGTGGAAATTCCGTCAAGGCATTCTCACAACAATGGGGCTGTCGTAGGCACAGAGGCAGTATAAGCCTGTATACAAATTCCACTTGTCTAATTTGACCTAATGCTCTGCTCCGTCTCCTTCTTCTCAGACGAGTGCATCATGGGTGTGAACTTTGTGATGGAGGGAGCTGAGGTTCAAGGCCACGCCCCCAAAGTCTTCATCACTGCTTGTGTTCTACTTATTGTTTTCTTGGGTGGAGGGGTCTTCCTCTTCCTCAGTGCCCGAGCTAGATCCCTTGCAATCGCACCCAAAATCAAATCTGGAGGCTACGAGAAACTGGATTCCAACGGAGGCATCAACCCAGATCCCACCACCACTGCGTTTGGAGATTATAGCGACAGAATTGTCGAATGTAAGGAGGATGACGAAGAAGAGGACGATGATATCATATACATGGGACAAGATGGGACTGTGTATCGGAAGTTTAAGTACGGACTCTTGGACGAAGATGAGATTGAGATGGAGTATGATGATGAGAGCTACTCATACGGTTGAGGAATGTAGAAACTGTGAGAAGAAAAGGAAATGTAATATTTGGCTGTTTTGTTGGCCAATTGTTTCATGTTTTTATTCTGATTATATTTGTTTTTGTTCTTTCTTTCTAATAAACTCAGATTACTATTCTCTTGACAGGGTGACTTTTCAACATGATAAATCATTTTCATAACTCCAACCTGGCGACCAGAGAGACTTACAGTAAATTATAATAAAACAAATTGTTTGTTTTCCAGCTTTATTCTGCATAAGTTGTGGTTTAACAAATAACATACATGTGACATATTAAGGTACATATCTGGTAAACAAAGAAATCCATTTTATTTGTGTGGCACCAAATGGCATCATACAAAGCATCTCATAGTCAGGGTGAGACCTTTCAAGATTGTAGAGAAAACCAACAGTTCCCACAACAAGCAGCACTTTGGCGACTGTGGAGGGAAAAAACTCCCTTTGAGAGGAAGAAACCTTGAGAAGAACCAGACTCAACATGGCCATCTGCCTTGACGGAATAAAATGTGGGAAGAGAAGAGATGAGAGAAGAGAGAAAGACAGAAAGAGGGGAGGGGAGGGGAGAGGAGAGGGAGACCAGGAACAGTTGTGTAACCGTCATAATCAAGTTCTGTCAGGCTGGTTATAACAAAAATAAGTGTGATCGATGAAATTATGTTATTAATGATAGCAGCACCAGTTTATGATAATAATAATAATACTAATGTGTGGCCACCCAGCTTCAGTCTGCTGATTAAATCTATATCACTGTCACCTTGTTGTTTACCTCAGCAGCAATCATTTTGTTTGACTGTTGTTTTTCCTTTATATGTGTAATAGATGTATTGTTGTGTGTGAAATTTTCCTCTGTAGTGGGTTGAAGTGTGTGTTTGTGTGTGTGTTTGTGTGTGTGTTTGTGTGTGTGTGTGTGTGTTTGTGTGTGTGTTATGCTATTAATTAACTTGCAGATGTGCTGTTGAGTTACACGCAAACAAATACAAACAGTTGACTGCTGCTCGCTGGTCCCAGTGAGGACAAAGCTTCGAAACATGTTTAAACTGGATCTGGTTTATGATTAGTTGCGTAACAAAGCTAAGTCAGTGTAAAGACAATAAAATCCTAATTTACCAGTCTCCTGAAACAGGTATAGATTTCCATTGCAGCATTTCATGCTAAGTAGGCTTATAACAGACATACTGCTCTATTTGATGTTCTGTATTCTCACATAACTTTAAAATAAAAACCCTGTGAAGATATTTTGTCGTATAACCTTTACACTGAGTGTCTTATCGCAAACAAGACTGAACAAATATACACAACATTGACTCAGGGACATCTGACACAATCTTTTTCACATTGACACATGGACTTGACTTGTGGCTTCTCCTTTCCTAATTTAAACGTAATGTAAAACTAATCCCTCTCACAGGTCAGGGTTTGTTTGTGCAGTGAATTATCAGGACTAATATGAAATACCAGTTAATCTGGTTCATTCTAGACACCCACTTCCTGTCCCCTTCAAAATATGGCCCATAGTAGTGCAGCATTCATAGTTTTGCATATGAAGTTACTTCTATTTCTAATTTCAGTAAGAGCCTTTTCTACCTTTGCTGAAGATATATTTAACATCAGCATTTTTTGTGTTTATTTTTTTCACTTTCTTTAAAACTGCGAGATAGGACGTCTATGAAAAGGGAGCTCTCTCCCCCTTTTTTCTAGGCCCTGTGTCCCTACAATAAACATTTGCTCATTTGATTATTATTTGAATTTTGATTATCAATTAGATTATGTAGATAATCTTGTTTGCATTGTGTGTTGTATTCTTTTAAAGCAGTTTATGATAGTAATGTTGCTCTGTTGGATGTTTTGCCGGGTACCTGGGGTCAGATCAGCAGGTTGATCAGGGAAAGTGACAACAGGTTTGTCCCATCTGGTCTCTGAGAAAGGAGGGGCAGGGCGGACTCAAGGTTACAGAGAATGGGTGAAGTATGCTGCATGGATTACGTTTGAGTCAATTTATCGCATTGATCTTCTTTACGCGTGCAGATAGATTGAGTTGTGAGGTCGACAGTAACCCAGAGTCCAAACTTGGAATTGTGTTGATAGTGGTTTCTGTTTGTCTTCCTGATGGCTCACCTTATACTTACCAGTGCGGGTGGTAGGTTCCAGACAGGTGAGGCGATAAAGCAAAAGGCCAGTCAGTAGTGAGGGGGGGAAGAGAGTTGGCAACTTGGAGTAAGGCTGCAGATATTTCTAATTTTGTGCCCTTTTTCGTTCTCTACTGTAGTATGATTTAGTTTTGTTGCATTTCCCAGGGCTCATTTTGTTGTAGTACCTTTTTGTTAATAAAATGCAAATTTATTTCATCTACTCCTGCTTCTCCAGTTTCAAGTTTTCAGTGTCAAGTAGGGTCCTCCACCCGTCTGGGGGCTATGGTGCTACAACGTCTTTTAACAGTTTCCATCAGAGAATAATAAATTGTTCTGTCAGACAAGTCACGTTCAAAAGTTTATCAAACGTGGTGGAGGGGCTGAATCAACTGGCAGCAATACTGACACAGCAGTGGGGCAAGCAAAAGGAGTGATGGGATATTTTCTCTGCTTAAATAGAACGCCTAATAAGATAGGTGTGTATTATATATGATTGTGGAGAGTGAGGTATATCATCTCGAGTCGGCTGCCAGAACTAGCTCGCAGTCGTCGCTCCATATTTGGATGAGAAAGGACTGTTGGTAATCACTCTACTGTCAAAAGAAAAGAACTTTGAAATGTTAATCAAGTGTTTATTTGATTTAATCATAAAACACATGAATAAAAATATAAGGTTGTGTAGAACCTGTAACTCTACATGCAGTAACCCTGGTCCCTGTGTAAACCGGAATAAACACTTACAGCAGCCAGTGTTCAGTGGTAGACATGAAAATAAATAAAATGTTTGCTTTGGGTAGATGAAGCAGCATCATGATTTTCCCAGTTGTCTAAGAAACTCAATTACCAGCCTGGGAATAGAAAGGTTCTGGCAAAGGATCACAGCTACTGTTGCATGATAAATGTCATCCGCCATAAAATGCACTCAGACTTTTTACTCCCTAAATAACACTTTAATAAACTAAAATACAATGCAGACTTAAAAACCAAAAGCACATAGCTAGACTCACACGTCATTCATTAAAAATATTATTCACCAAATTTCAAATCACTGTCTCTGTAATAGTTTAAAAAGAGCAGGCAAACACACAGATCTAAGAAGAGCTTGTTTATTGGACAAAAGTTTTATTGAAATTCTGGAAGAGCCCATGAAATCGATCAATTAAACTGTGATGTGTCCATATATTTTAAGAATTGAATTTTGTTTTTTTAGGTTCAGACTTTACATGTGGGTGGTGTAAATGAATGTTCAACAATTCAAAGACTTTTGCCCCCAACAAAGCAAAGAGGACGTGGGGACATTATTCTTCATCTTATCTCACCTATCAATGTTTTACTATTTGTAACAAACCCACAGAGACTAGTAGACTGTAGGTCTGAGCCTCAGGCAGTCTGCAGTGAAACTAAACAAAATCCTTCACTGACATGCATTAGAATGATGAAATTGCAAAAATTGTTTTTGTGTACATTTCCTTAAATAAATAAAAATGCTTGTTATTTAATAATTCCAGTTCACACACATGCATATTGCATCTGCTTATTTAATTTCTGGGGCAGTGAACAGTAGAAAGTTTGTGTCACACTTGAGAGAAAAGAATTTCAGAATGAAATAGGAAGGAAAAAAAGTCTTGTATTGAGTTACGTTGTTGCATAAAGTCACCGAACTGCGTCACCTGTTTTTGTTACAGTTAATAATGCCCAGATCTTCTTTCTAACCATCTGGCTCAGAATAATAAATCTCAACAGAAAAGGACTCAATAAGTAATGTTTTTATAACCTTGGCTAGATAGTGTTCACATAGTAGAATTGATGGTCATCGTAATTGTATAATTATTTATAGACAGATTTTAAATATTATGCTTGTATTTTCTGTTTACTGCCATTCCAAGAACTGTATTATAGTTTTATATAAAAAGGTGCCTTCTCACATAAAAGATTTCAAATATACATCAGAAGCAGTGATACAGCTGCATACAGCAATTCTGGGGTGAGTATATACAGATGAACATCATCTATTATATCAACAACAAACCAATAGAGGAAGAAAAACAACTATTAAAAAACAGAAGCACTGACAAAGGAAAAGATAAGTACAACTTAAAAGGATTGTTTGTGATTACGTCTACGTGCAGAAATGGCGAAGAAGGCTTAGAATGTGTTCTGTGCATTTCATTGAATTGAAATGCACAAACCTGTGTGTACACAGAAATGTGTGTGTGTGCCTGTGGACAAGCAGTCACAGCCAGCTGTCAGTGACCATTCATTATAGTCTGTGACGTAGACGCTGTGGTGCTGGGCAGGGCTGGAGATGAGGTGCAGGCGCTGGTGAAGAAGTTGTCGTCTCTCAGTTTGAGATGCTCTGGGAGCTCCAGGTTGACTCTGGCCTCCTCAATGTCGTTGTTGATGGCTGCAATGAGGGCTTCTGTTCGTAAAGAGATGAAGACATGCAGAAAAGAAGTGAGCGAAGTCAGAGAGTGGGCCTTAGTGTGTGTGTGTGTGTGTGTGTGTGTGTGTGTGTGTGTGTGTGTGTGCGTGCGTGCGTGCGTGCGTGCGTGCGTGCGTGTGCGTGCGTGTGTGCGATAGAGTAAAGTTTTCCTACCAAGAGAGTCGTAGCTTCTCTCTGGACGGATGTAGCCCACCATGACCACACTGAGAATCTCCCCATAAAAGTCCTCTTTGAACGTGTGAATCACATGAGTCTCCTAGAACCAGAAAAACATTCACATAAATTCTCACAAGACACAAACAAATATTAATATTTTGTGCTTTCTTCCAAGTGTTTTCAAACCAGACTGAAGACGAGAGGCTTGCCCTGTGTGTGCATGTGAAATTTGTTTTTGCCAAATAAATGCGCATGTATGGTGTAAGTGTAGCCTACGATAAAATTACAGTAATCAAATAAGGCAACCATTTTGAAAACAGCCTTTCCACCAAACATTTTATTTAGCACAACTCTACTTTCAACACAATGGGTATTCATTTCATACTTTTCAGTTTTGCACTTGTGCAATCAAACTCTAACTTTAGAATGTCACTGCTGACAAAATGCTGCAAATTTTTACATCATGAAAAAGAAAAGTTACCATGTTTAGGGATGTAAATTGTTCAGAACTAAAAAATCCTACAATTTTCACCCAACACAAAATTATTTTGTGGACTTTTGAGGCAGCAGTCTTTATGGTCATGCTTAAATGCTGTTCAGCAACACAAGAGTCATAGCAAATTAAACTAATAGGAAGCATATTAAACCTGTTATGAAAGTGAGAGAAACTATATTTAAGTGAAAAAATTTTTTCCCCCCGTTTCAATATAGTATGAAATAAAACAAACCATGAAACTGATAACAATCAGTCCTTTTAACATTCTGCCACCAGCATTCACGTGTGGTCATATCGGAAACCACGTGGATAATTTTTCTTTAGTGAGTGCCCACATTCATCCTGTAGCTCCGTCTAATCTGACCTCAAAAGTTCCATTTGAGTTACTAATTTTTCATCAGTTCTCATGTTTTGTCCCACTGTCTTTACTTGCCCCCAAAGCTGAGGGTGAAGAAGTGGGCTTGTGACCAGACCATTGCTGCCTTTAAACCACGGGTGGTCAAAGACTGTGACATCTTATCGATTTCCAATGTGAATACCCTCTTTCAGACTAAAACAGTGCTCATCTTGTGCTTACCATGGACTTTTTGGTGTTTTTGTAGTATGGATTCCAGCCAATGCTCATCACCATTTTGTGGCGATCCCCATTACCCACGCAGGCCCAGCCGTAGTAGATTCCTGTGCTGATATCTGCTGGAAGATTGTCCACCACCGAGTCTGGGAAGTTGGCTGGAGATGAGAAGGAAAGACAAAATGCTCAGTATGTAAGCTCTGCCTGAGAAGTAACATTAAGTTGGTTTCTTGCTCAATGGCAGAGAAGATAGAGACTTGTTTTAAGAAGGGGAGAACACAACCTATTTTGACAAACCTTGATCTAGCTGTGAAGGGCTTGGAATTCATGTCTGAATATATTTTTAGATATTTTGTTATTTTTACTCAGTAGATGTCATTCTTATCTTTATAGTAATAAATCAAGTAACTTGTCTCTAACTTAAAAGGATCTTCATGAGTTGTGTAAAAATTCTGTTTGCATTCTATATATTGTTAATGTGTACTGATGAATCATCTTGCTCTTATCTGCCAAGAAGGTTATGTTTTCACACCTGTTAGTTTGTTTGTGAGCAAAATTACACAAAACTACTTGATGGATTACTATGAAAGCTGGAGGTAGGATGTGGTGTGGGTCAGGGAAGAACCCATCTCAGTTATGGGGCTGATCTGGATCTAGATCTTTTAGAGTTTTCCCAGGGAATGGGAGAAAAACTTGGATCTTGATGAACAAAAATCTGGCACATTTGGGGAACGGATTTCTACGAGTGTGTTAAATTTAGTTTAGCTTGACTGACTGTAAGGAGGCTGCTGGGCCTTGGTTGAGGAGTGCGCTCCACTGAGCTCCATTCCAGTTACAAACAGCATTTACAAAGAATGATTTGGACTATTTACTTTGAATCATTATGGATTTTGGATCTTGTGTGTTTGTTAGCATAAAGAGTGAGTCTCACTATCACATGACAAGGCCTAAAATAATCACAAGCCCAATCTGAATGGGTAAAGAACCACTAATTACACTAAGTCACTAGTGTCCGGCTTCCACCTTCACAATGCCATTGACTACTGCATGTCCGGGTAGTAGAGAGATTAAAAACAATAAATCCTGTCTCATCATGATGATCTCTAGCTACAGATACGATTCGTTTTCCGGTAGACTGGATGGTGACAGCTTCAGATCATTCATTTGTTCGCATCTTTTAACCTGTAAGATATTCTGGAGCAGCCTTCGGTACAATATGACCTTTCTTAAATAACAGCGCTTTCACCATCTTACGAGTTCCACTGCTCAGTTCACGCAAACAAACGTGTCGTCATCAATACGTCGCCAATACCTCACAGTAACTACCTGCGGATCAGCTGTCAGTGCTGCTGTTCTCTGGCTCCACGCTACTAAGACGGATTCACAGTGACCGTACGTTACCTGCGTCCGCCAGGATCCAGGTTAAAGGCTGACGCTGACCGATGATCCACTCACACTGACCGATGATCCACTCACACTGACCGATGATCCACTCACCTGTGGGAATCCCCAGTTCTTTGCTTCCTCTCCCGAAGCCTCTGATGACCTCTCCCCGGCAGAAGTACGGGAGACTCTTCATGGCTGTTGTCCCGGTGATAGTCGGCGGTCTGACTGGTGAGCGCTGCAGAATGACCTCGAACGACACAAGGAAGTCGGAGCGGCAGATCAGCCCGCACTTAGCTGTGGGCTAACTCGGTTAGCAAGACTGAGTCCGTGCGGATGTCAAAGTCCGCCCTTGAGCCTTCAGCCTCCGGGGAGTTAGCTCGAGGTTGATAAAGTTAAAACCTGGGAGGCTGTAACACTCCAGCAGCTACACCAGCTAAGCTAACCTCTGTTAGCCTCATCAGCCGGGTCTCGTTCACGGGTGCTGGCTGTGCGGTGGTTGAGGATGACGGTCCCGGTGTGTCTCGGCTGCTCCGGCGGTGTGACGGTGGAAGTTAAACCCGGGGATCGAGGAGAACCACCGGTGTTACGTATCTTACACATCTGCGTCCGCTTCTGCTGACGTCATCGACCGCGTGATCACAGCGGGCCAGGAGACGAATGCTGCCTTCACGTGTTGTAGGAAGATTTCCTGCTGGACGGGTTTTTGGGGTTATGGCAAATGAAATGTGGAAATCCATCAGCAAGTTCTAGGGAATCCATGTGGCAAACGTTAACTCGCTGCTACACCCTGTTCTCAGGTTCTGGCTTGTTTTGTCGGGACAACATTCATCATCCTGGTTCTCAGAGTTTCAAGTTGAGGAAAGATAAAGATGGACTTCAAAATGAAATGTGACAGGTTAATCATGCCCAGTTCTATTTTTAGTGATATAAGTATATTTATCATCCATTCGCCCTGTGTGTGTGTGTTTCAATTTAATTTTATTAGTATTGCCCCTAATCATTACTTTGTCTCATTATCTCAAGGTGCTTTCCCTTGCAACATCCACCATCAGGTTGCTCAAAGATCTGGAGATCCTGGACAAGCCCTGTGCCAGACATGCACCCGGGTCTGATCAACATCTTGTCCGATGTTCTAAAATGCATTGTCAAGTCAAGATCTCCCAAAATGATAGAGAAACCTAATGGTACCACAGCAAGTACTTGGGCTGCTATGGAGAGAAACGTGGGGAAGAGAAGAGAGGAGAGCTGGGTGGAAAAGAGGGGATAGAAGAGAGAGAGAGAGAGACCAGGAACAGTTTTGTAACCATCATATTCAAGCCACAAATTATAATTAAAGGTTCAGTGTGTAAAATTTAGGTGAAAGGGATCTATCGGCAGAAGTTAAATACAAAATAATCCTAGTGATGTTTCCACCAGTTTGTTTCATCTAAATTGTTGTTTTATTTACTCTAGAAGGTGCCCTTTATATTTAAATACTTTATATTTACATCTGGAGTGGGTCCTCTCTATGGAGGACGCCATGGTTTTTACAGTAGTCCAGACTGGAATAACTAAACTTTTGAGTTTTTCTGACTCCAAGAAGGCTTCCACAGGTTCTCTGCCATCTTTGGAAGAGGAGGGTGAGGTGAGGGGTATTCAGCTGCAACATGCACCCTCACCACCAGATGTCACTAAATTCTACACACTTAAACTTTATTATTGATTTGAGTGCAGATATCATCTCAAATAATTCTTTGTAGTCGAAATGATTACTCAGTAGGGCTCATTCCACGAATTAGTCTATTACTGAGGTGAATGACATTATAATTGTGACTATAACTATGTGACATTCAGTTAAATACTTTTGCTTAGTGGTAATTTTAGATCACATTTCAAGTGTGTTTACTAAGCTTAGTTAACCTGCAGACTCTGCCTCAGCACTTAAATCCTATTATAATGAAGCTCCTTTCCAACATTGCAGTATTTTATTCTCGAAAATGCAATTTACCTCAGGTTGATCTGAGGTCTGTTGATGTTGTTGCTTCTTTTGGTGTTTGATCTCAACCACTAGAGGGTGTCATTCCTAAGTATTCAACTCAACTCAACGGCCCAGATCAGCAGTCTTTCTTTCAACTTTTTCCCTTTTTATGATGAACCTTATTTGGTTAAAATGGTTGTCAGCTACATGACATTACACTGAAATTATTTCAGCCTGTAAAAATATATTTTAATCTTAGGAACATAAAAGAATGAAATATTCATCAGCAGAGGCAGCTGCTTTAAAAACTTTGCAAACCTGATGTTTATTCAAATATGTTCTCACTGTCAGACATTTCTTGAAGTCTTATTTCATCACTTTTTAACTGTTTTTAGCTGTTCAATGAACTTCATCAATCTTTGAACTACAGCCAGGCTCATCATTTTTTGGGTTCCCTGACCCAGGAAACATTTTGCAGCGCATTTCCATATATGCATGTGTTTTGCACTTTTTGCAGCACATGTGATATCAAATTGAAGTTGTTTTCTTACTTTGCATGTGTTTTTTCTATTCACATGTGTTTTCTTAATTTGCAGTGTGTTGAGCTCTCCTGGCCACCGTACATATTGGATATTGTGGCTTCATGAACTCCATGCAGCCCTATGTAGGAAGCGGGATACATTAATCTGCAGATCCCATCGGCGAAGCTTCTTTACAACTTTGTTTTCTAGAGGAGTATTTAATTATTATATAGAATACTTATATGAGGTCCTCTGTTGTGAGTGGGTCAGAGGTGTCGCCCAATCAGCAGCAACATGCATACAAACCCTATTGTATTAAAAATGCAGTGCACTCAATGCCTTTGCAATGCAATGTTTCTTAAAGGTACAGTGTGTAGAATTTTGTCATATCTAGTGTTGAAGTTGCATGTTGCAGCTAAACACCCCTCACCTCACCCTCCCCTTCCAAACATGAAAAAGAACCTGTAGCAGCCTTCAGTTGTCATAAAAACTCAAAAGGTGTTTAGTTTGTCCAGTCTGGACTAATGTAAAAAACATGGCGGCCTCCGTAGAGAGGACCCCCTTGATGTAAATATAAAGTATAAATATAAAGGGTCTTTTCTGGGGTAAAGAAAACTACAATTCATACAATTAACATGAAACAAATTAGTAAAAACATCATGAGGATTATTCTACATTAAATTTCTGCCAATAGTTCCCTTTCACCTAAATCTTACACACTGGACCATTAAGTTCTGTATAACTGCAACAGCAGCTACTTGGTGTTTGCAACATTTGAAAATGTTAGAAGCAGCTATTCCAGACTGCAAAAGCAGAGACTGTGACATTGGGTATTTTTTGGACTATTAAATGTGTATCCATGTCATCTACTGTAGATGATCAGAGATTTCCTCAACAAGAATGGTGTTCTTGCTGAACAAGATGGTGTTTTTGTTGAATGGCATTCCTGTTTAACGCCAAGTGGTGAAATGAGATCATTTCATTGTATTCACTAATGTTTCTTTTGTAGAAGCTAAAGTTAATGTGCCAATCAACATTTTCAAACATGTAGTTTCTGACTGTCCTGCCTACCAGTGACTGTACTGAAGCAGAATGTGAGAAAAGACAGTTCTGCCTTAATAAAGTTAATTTCACTAATCTCTGTGCTTTCACTTCACAGTTCTGTTTTGAATCATTAACATTTTGTTTGCTTTAGACTTATGCTTATTAGAGTTTTAGACACAACTTTATTTATTATAATTTTTAACTTTTTTTTTCAACAAGAATGCCATTCTTATTGAATAAGAAGACACAAACAAACTAATAAATGAGGAAATAAATGAATAGTAATGTCAGATAGGAAAATGATTGACAGCTTTGTTGTCCAAAAAAGTTTATTGCCTTCACCATTTTACCTTCGAAGTACCTTGGAAATATTAAGTTAATGCTATTGTTGACAAAACGGTAGGATTCACTTGTGTTAGTTTGGATTTTGTTTACCTGCAGATCCTTATCTTTAGCCCTTTTATTCATTTGTGCTTGTGATTCTTGCAATTCTAGTCTGTGGATGAATGTCTGGCTAGTTAAAATTGATTCTATCCACAGGGAAATGTGAACTTTGTTTTATAGTCATCTTACACAGTCTGTCAACCTTTGGTTGACATGAGCCAGTTTGTAAAACATGATATGACAATTGTAAAATAGTCAATAAAAATGACAGTTAAAGGATGGAGAGGGAAGTAAAAAAGAAGCTGAAAGGTCTGGCCTTTTGTTTGGCCCCACACTTCCTTATTTCTGCATAGCAATATGACGACCATGTAAATCAGTGACACAGTGACATGAATAAAAAGGGGATGGGCAGGTTGAACATACATCCAGAGCTCACACTGCAAAAAGACACCTAACAGTTCCCCCTCTCCCACAATGAGGCTGTTGCAACGAGGCAGGTTTCTCCTGTTCCTGAAGCTCACCTTGGTACTGGGATCACTATGGATGCTCTCCCTACTCACTCGCAGTAGATCAGGCTGGAATCCCAGCTACAGCTGGTTGGAGTATACAGATGATGACAGCCCCGAGAAAATGTGCGACTGCTCAGCTATCCTGCAGGGAGAGAGGGAGGCACTGGAGCAGGCCAAATTACTGACCATCACCAAAGACTTCAAGAAGAGTGTTCACATCCCTGATGAATATTACATGAATGCTTCCCAAGACTGCAGGTGTGTTGCTTTAAACTACATTTTTTAGAACTTTGTACTTTGCCAATATTTGATTTCATTTCGATGTTCTTTGTTTGATATTGTTTATATACAGTGCTTTCAAGCTAAGAAGGAAATATTTAACATTTCCGTTGAGCCAGGAAGAGGAGGAGTTCCCTCTGGCCTACTCTATGGTTGTGCATCATAAGGTACGCAGAGTCTAAAGCCTGAATTTTTTATTCAAATAAACTTTAAAAGTGGAGTAAACAAATAACTTCAAAGTCATTAACTAAAGGAGCTCTTCACCACTACTTGTGAACTTCTGTTTAGTTCATCTACACAAAAAGGATACATTCTAAAAATGTTTTCATATTCTCATAGGTGCAGAGCTTTGAGCGACTTCTGCGAGCCATCTATGCACCTCAAAATGTATATTGTGTACATGTGGACAAAAAAGCAAAGTCCTCAGTCTTAGCTGCCATCAGGGCCATTACTGCCTGCTTCCCGAACATCTTCATGGTCAGCCAGCCTGTAGACGTGGTCTATTCTGCCTGGCCACGTGTCCAGGCAGACCTTAACTGTATGGCTGATCTCTATAATGCCAGCACAAAATGGAAATACCTCCTCAACCTATGTGGACAAGATTTCCCACTGAAAACCAACTTGGAGATTGTAAGGGCGCTGCGTTCACTGAGGGGCGGGAACAGCTTAGAGTCAGAAAAAATGCCTGCAGAAAAGATGTGGAGAGTGAGAAATGCTCACCAAATAATAGATGGAACAATCCAGGTACTTATATCACATTACATATATTTGCAACGTTAACATTTGAATTTACTGATCATCACTTTAAAATTAATTCCCTATTTCAACTCCGTCAGGGGACAGGAAAGGCAAAGGAGCCACCTCCCTTCAACTTGACCATAATGTCTGGGAATGCCTATTTTGTGGTTAGCCGGGGCTACATCAGCAGTGTGTTGGAGGACAAACGAGTGCTGGCACTGATTGAATGGGCGAAAGACACCTACAGTCCTGATGAATTTCTCTGGGCAACCATTCAGCGAATGCCCGGAATTCCTGGCTCAAAACGGCCGCATATCAAATATGACATGTCAGACCTCAATGCTATCACTCGCCTGGTGAAGTGGCAGTTTCACGAGGGGTCGCAGGATTCACTGAACGCAGTGTACCCAGAGTGTCAAGGCAACCACGTCAGGTCAATATGTATATATGGTGTTGGGGACCTACAGTGGATGCTCGAGCACCATCATCTCTTTGCCAACAAGTTTGACATAGACACAGACGCCATCGCTGTTCACTGTTTGGAGAAATATCTGAGAAAAAGGGCACTGTCTAAGTTACAATAGATTTTTCAAGAATGGCATGAAATTCAAACCTTCATTACAGTTTTTCTGAATTGCTAAAACACTAATTCCTGTTGTGTGAATCAATTGCTCAGTTCTCTAAACTCACTCACTGATTTGAGCATCATTTTGACAAAACCATAAACTATCTTCACCTAGTAAAACACTATTTGCAGATCTTAGTCTTTCCTTTTGAAAAACTCTAAACACATTCTCATGCAATAAAACACAGTTGTCACTGTGATGCACTTGTGATGCATAATAGTAAAAACCAGTGGCAAAATATGAACACAAATGAAACACACGTGTCATCCATTGAACACAACGATTCAAAATTGATCACACTTGTTTCTCTTCATGTCATGACAACATGACAACCAATATAAGTTCAGAGTGCATCAGGTTGGTCCTGACAACAACGGATCAGAGACACAGAGGACGAGTGCGTGTAAGAGGAGGTAGAGGTGGAGGACAAGAAGGAGGCAGAGGAAGAGGAGGGAGAGGAAGACGAAGAGAGGCAATTTCTGACGGTGGTACAGTAATTTAACACTGTGTGCTGTTATAAGCAACCGGGGTGTTCTTCACCATCGTGCCACTCTGGGGCCATATACTGTAACACCCAGCACCTTCTCACCTTTCTTGGTGCTCTATAGATGTGTTGTCTGCAATGAACAGCAGGAACATGAGATGATTGAGCGGCCTATTTACAGTTTTTTACAACCGCTATGACCCGTTGTTCAATACTTTTAACGCTTTTTCAAAACTCTTCACACAGTTACCACAACATCAGCCTGTGTGGGCTATACAATTAACACAATTCTTCTTCTTTTGACACAAAATACACACATTTTACACGTTTTAGAATGAGTTTTAACTCCTTTTACACACAAGCTCAAACAAGACCAAAACAGTAGATGTTAACTGGTGAATTTTCAATTGCTTTCACACGGTTTGTCAAAACACAAAACTAATGGATTGAAGACTACACTGATCACAGCTGATTCCCGTCTCACCCAGCTCAAGTGCTGGGCTTTTTTCAATCACATCACCTATATTTATAGGCGTATCTTGATTAGCTTATTAGATTAGCTTTTTTATCTTCCTATTTTACAGTGATTTCTTCTGCTCCTTTTTCTTTTTGTGTATTTGACAATACAGTAATGAATGACAGCTAAATTTTTTGTAGATTTTTTTTCCTCTTTACTGTAAGTCATTTTCATTTGCAATACAGTAAAGTGTTTACTGCAAATCCTGTCATTTACTGTCTTCTTCTTTCATAAACATTCTGCAAAGCTGCTCTGACATGGGTCGTTCACTTTTTGTACTGAGTGTTGTACAAAAAAAAGGAACAAAATTCATGCCCAACAAATGAAAAATGAAGAACATCATCACAAACATTAATTTACATGTATGATCAATACAATAATCTGTTGATTGCAAAAGAAAAAGGAAAAAAGTAGATTTGACACATGCAAAGTGATTCAGTTTGTGTTATTCCATCAGTTGTCAGTGTTTTTAATGTGACTGACTAAATGTTTCTGTTGGAAGACAACGTGTGTCAGTGCTTTGGTAGATTTGGTGAATTGTGTTAGTGTATTATTGTATTTTGGAAGTGTGTGTCTGTGTTTAATTACACTGCGTGATTTTGAGCATGAAATTAACTGTTTGGGGAATTGTGTGTTTCAGGTGTGATGTGCGTTAACAGTTCTGAAAAAGTGTTTAAGGTTCTGACGGGTCATAGCGGTTGTAAAAAACTGTATGTTATAATTTGGGACAATGTTAGTTTTCACCGCGCTGTCTAAGTCAGAGAATATGAATCAGAATATCATTACAGTAACCTATACTTGCCACCGTACTCTCCCTTCCTCAATGCAATAGAGGAGTTTTTGTCCACTTGGAGATGGAAGGTGTACGAGTGACAGCCCTACTCCAGGCTTACAGTAATCTTCTTGAGTCCATGGAACTAGCCTGTGATGACATCAGTGAGGAGATGTGTCAGGGCTGGGTACGGCACACTAGGGTTTTTTTCCCCTTTGCCTGGCAAGGGCAAATATAACGTGTGATGTGGATGAAGTGCTGTGGCCTGACCCAGCCCAAAGACAGGATGACGCTCAATGAAGCTCAATGATCAACTGTGTAAAGTACTTTATTGTGACCAATAAACATTTCTCCATGAGCAACAGGCCTTGTCCACTGTGTTTTCAATTTTTTGGTGTAGTGTTTACTGACAGCTCAGCAGTTTTTCTATTTTGACCGACTCCTGCAAGATCTGACAACATTGTTCCGTTTTGAGCACATGTGAAACAATTTTGAAGCGATGGTGTGGTTTTGCAAAAAGAATCGGAGGTTTTGTGAATGTAGTTTACAGAAAAGAGTTTTGTGTTTAGAATTCTGAGAAAAGGACCGGAGGATTCATAAAACATGTTTTAACAATTGTGAAAAACTGTAATACAGGGAAAGGCCATGTAGCTGCACATGATTAGATTTCAAGATGTATTTTGAATTAATTATATTTATAGTGTGATGAACACAAATACAAATGTTTCATTAGTGGCAGTGTACTGTATTAGTCAGTAATTATCTAAACCTTTTCACTTACTTACATTCTAGCTTATGTCAAAGCTAGAACGTGTGTGAGAATTTTTGATATTTTTTATATGCATGATGATTGAAAATGAAGCTAGTCATTTAAACATTTAAAGTTTCAGTGTGTAAGATTTAGGTGAAATGGATCTATTGGCACACATTGAAGAATAATCCTGGGGATGTTTTCACTAGTGTGTGATCATCTAAATTGTATGAATTGTAGTTTTCTTTACTCTAGAATGGGCCCTTTATATTTAAATACTTTATATTTTGTATATTCTATATATTTATATGATATGTCACTCTCCTTTTAAAAGTCTTGTTTCGTGTGTCTAGCGTTGTACATTTGTGTGTCCTATGATTGCTGTATTCCTACTGAATTTTTGATAGCATACGTTGAAAACTCAAATAGATTACTTACTGGTCATTAGGCGAACATTCCTCCTCGAAGAATATAGTGGCCACATTTACAACTAGTTTGGTACCTATTCCAACAAATAGGTTAAACCTACAGAAACAAAGTCTGGTGCTTTACATAATAAGGGTGGTGTGGGATGGAGTCAAATTCGCAGCTTGAATTATTCTCCCAGTCCGCTGGTGCTTGTGAAACCTTCATGTGAAAACTTTTTTTTTAAAGACTGATGAGGAGGAACACACTTTTAATGAAACAAATCATTGTTGTACAACAGATCAACACCTTGCAAGAGACACATATATATATATATATAAAAAAAGAATATATGTATATATATATATATAACAAAAATAAAATAAAACTAACCATCAGTGAAAATAGTATTCCCTCATCACTCCCCAAATAGTTTTTTAGATACACACACACATACAAGTACATAACCTGGACAAATATGATTCAAATAACATAAGTACACAGTTCTACATCTGGGTGAGTAATCAGCGTAATCTGAAAGGGCGCACCTGAAGGCATGCAACACATTACTGCAGCTTTGGTAACTGCCTTTTTGTTACCTGTATGACATCCCCAGAATGTTCACAGTGATATACAACACTAACAGAATAGCCAATTGTAGCCTTTATAAGACATGTTTGGGATGTGGTACCTATAAAATAAACTACTCAAAAAGCAGCTTTCACTGTCTGTTTCATATCATTACAAACTGCAGGCTTGAATTGAAACTTTTAATGTGTGGGTTATACATTTGTAAACCTTGCGTATCTGAAATTAGAGTCTACAGAGTATCCTGTAACATTACAGTCTATTGACCAAGCTACAGTTCAGTAACATCCTGTTCTGGAAACACCAATCTGTATTTATGAGCAGATGGGCTGGATCACAACTGCTGTTATGGCGTATAACTGTGTTTATTACCAAGCCTGTTAGTAATTCCTCCAGTGAATTAAAGAAAAATAAAACTATTTAATCAAAGATGAAGAAAAAACCCCAGAAACTAAAAATGGGGAACAGAATCAAGTGCTGTGTAACATAAAGTAGTACAGAACAGTGACAGTCTCAGTCACTGTACATACGGAATTATGTTTAGCACCCAGTGAGAGGCGTTAATAACTCCCTCACTGAACAAGCAGTTGCCCAATGTTCTGTACCACAGCATCTTTTTTTCCAGCCTGTTGCTAGTGCCACACACATCATGCTGCAGGGTTGCTCATATTCAGTCATGCTGAAGGAAATGGGCAGAAGTCAGATGTTGTGTCTGTCAAACGGCTGAGTTGCCCTTCTTGTCGGCTCTGGGTGAGAGAAAATGAAAGAAAGAATTGTAGTACATCTTTAGAATTAGAATGAAATGATTTGTAAGAACTTAAAACAGTGGTCAGATCATACTGAAAGGCTGTTAAAAAGCATACATCTGCATTGAACAACCTATACCAGTGGTAAATGCATTTACTTTTATGGCTTTATGTGAAATTGGACATACAGGTGTATGCTGTCAACCTACAGCTTGCCAAATGGGAAGAATTTTTAAAAGATGGTTAAATAATGCAAATGGAGTATAAGCTTCAGTGGAAATATATTTCATTCTACTACATCACACAACAATCTGAAAACCAAACCTCAGAAACTAGTCAAGGATTTACTGAAAGGAAGAATTGACTCGATAAGTTACTCAGGTTATTGTGACTGAAAGATGATGCACAGTTCAAACATTGACACAGTTGTACTGGCAATGAAGACGCGTTCCCTTTTTCTCCACTGGCAAACAGTTGGGTTGGACCAATATTTTTGTTTTTCATTTTAGTTCCTTGTCTTGGAGTACTACTTACTTAGCTGCGGTTTCCTGCAAATCTGTATCCAATCTGGATTCGCATTGTGTGGGAAGGCAGAGAGCAAAGGTTAGGGAAGGGGTCAAACAAATGTCAGGTGCGGCCACATTGTTAGTGCACATGCATACATGAGATTAGAGGACTCTCCTTTATGTCCACTA